GAGAGCGAAATTGAGCAACAAAGTACTCAAAATTTTGCCAGTATTGGCAACCGGGTGGTATGCTTGGGTCCCCTGTTCTATTGCGTACTTCATTGTAATAGTTAAAATTCCAATTCTGTAAAACTTTATCATTTGATAACGCATGCGCCATTATCCATAGCCAAATGTACGGACATGTAAGATATCCAACCACTTGATCCGTGCTTTGACTCTCAAATCGAACGAGACCAAATTGTGTTACATCATCTATTTTTAATCCTTTCCCTTTAAATGTAGAAATATCTTGATTTTTGTCAACTTGTGTACGTGAAAGAATAATGCGTAGGACTGGTTTCAAATAAATAGTTTTACTTAACCATCCTTGATAATTATCAATAAGTTTTGATCGTACATTATTTATTAGATCAATAAAATTAATATTGTCCAAATCTTTTTCTCTAACAGACACTTCTAAAGCCTCCAACGCACGCCCATGACCACCCATATCATTTATAAGCATCTTCATGACTGAATTATCGATAAAAACTGGGTTGTTGTTTATTTTCGGAGGTTTTAATGATGTCACTGGGAGAAAAACTCTCTTTTGTGAACTGGCAAGATTGTGAATGGGCATGCTAATGGTAGCTGTACAACAGGTAACAACGAATGGACCGGAAAGCGAAAGAATGCCAAGTGAGGAGATGCAATCGTAAAAAAAATATTTTTTATTTTTACCATCATCGGGGTCATTCATTGCCACTTGAAGACCATCTAGAATAATAATTACGTTCAGATCATCGAATTCTTGATTGCGATGTCTAGCAATATGACGCAATACTTTTTCTGGTGTTACTTCATATCGATTCTTGAAATCATTCCAAGTTTCATTAGGATGCTTCAATAATTGAAAAAGCATTCGATTCCCAATTATATAAGAGCTGTCAACTTCTACCCCTCGAAATAGTTTGGTTCCATTTTCAAATGATAGATTAAATACAAGAGCAGACTTAAGTCGATTCTGTAAGTCAACATCATCATTTGTACATTCAATTAGCAATTTTGGCAATTCTTGTGCAGTACGAGATTTTCCTTCTCCAGCTCCTGCTAGAATGAAGTATTGCGGTATTGTTGTTTTTTCAAGTTGTCCATCCTTCCAACATCTGAAATGATCATGAATAGCATCCTTAAGTTTTTCTTTCAAAGCATCCGAAGCTTGAAAGTCCCAAGCGGAACCACTACCCATGAGAAGAGGATGGGGATCACGAAACTCTAACTTTTCAGGCAACTTTTGTGCTTTAAGATAAGAAAAAGACATTGATATTTCGTTACTGCAAATTTCTTGTTCAAGAGGTAAACAATTTGGAAATACTATATTTTTTTTTACGCAATTTGTTCATTACCTTTTTCTTCAGTAATTCCTGCTAATTTATCCTGCAACTTTATTGTCTGGTTCGCCCACATCATCTTCATCGTCTCCAACTTCTTTATTCTATCTTTCAACCTCTCCTTTTCTTCTTTCAGCTCTTTTATTCTATCTTCCCATCTTCTCTTCTGCCCTTCGTTCTTCCATTCTTCGTCCTCCAACTTTCTCTCCAACTGGTCTAATCTATTTCCCCTTTCCCCTTCTTTCCACTTTTCCAAGTCCTTCTTTGCATCTTGATACTCCTTCTTTGCTTCTTGATACTCTCTATCGGTTTTATTTAATTCAGTTTTAATTTTAATTTCTTCGTGCGTAATCATTTTTTTATTCGTTCGTAATTTTTATAACATATGGCTAATCGGCGGAGTTGGGCCCTACAAATTTAAAATTATATTTGAAATATATAACGATAATAATGATTTGATGACTTTTAAACACTATACTCTGATCTTTTGTTTTCACATGATATTAACCCAATCAAATACGCCAAATATAACCAATATTGGTGGCGACACATACGGTATGTTGGCCTTCATTCAATTGGTAACAAATCTCAGCTCCACTAAGTTGGGCCATTTTCTAGAATTTCCGCTATGACCAGTGGCAGCTTGGTTGAGAGGGGGCGATCTCATCCTCCCAGAGTTTTTGGCACCCACGAAATATTTGGCAAACTTTTTATATCGTATATTTTCTTTTTTCGTTGAGTTGAAAAGGTCGCGTAGTGAATCTCATCTCCATTGAGTTGGGCCATTTTCTAGCAATTCCGCTATGACCAGTGGCAACTCAGTTGAGGGAGAGCGATTTTATCCTCTCAGAGTGTCCACTACTTTTGTAGGTCTGATAAATGGCAAAAGGTCAGTAGAGAATTTAAAATTTTTTTTTAGTTCTTTGAAATTAAATACTAATTACACATGTACTTTATCTCGTACTTTTTAAAATCTTGAAAATCGCGAGAATTCAGCTCCATCGAGTTTGGCCATTTTCTAGCAATTCTGCTATGACCAGTGGAAACTCGATTGAGAGGGAGCGATATAATCCTCCCAGAATTCTCGCACTATAGGCAGTATAAAAGAATCACACATATCTTAAACGATTCAAAACCCAATCTTAGGTGAATTTTTTTTTTTCATGATGAATAATATAGCAAAAATAACGAATTGAGCGAAACATGGAAAAAGATTGTTTTTTGAAATAAAACGTCTCCGAAATAGAAAAGTCCAGGGATTATCAATGAGGTGGAAAATAAGCAATGCAGTATTTCCGATTCATACTTACCGCTACGATTCATTTCACAACGCTTAATGCATTGTAATAAAGATTTCATCTTCAGCTCGATACCGCGCCAAACATCAAGAATTCGGCACACATGGAGTTGATTAGATAAGATAATATCATCATGGAAAAATACTTTTGTGTGACTGCGCTTATTATACGCGTGATGATAATCAAAGATTTTCTTTTTATTTGGAACATCTATAGAAGCGGGAAAAAATTATTAACATCATGGTGACATTCTACTAGGGATGTTATCGGTTCGACTCGGTTCGGTTCAGTTCAAAAACTGCCAGTTTAGTCTTTGAGTTGAGCCGACCTCCAGTTTGTTATTTGAAGTTAAAACTGCAGTTGTAACTACGGTTCTAACT